TCGGTGGCCAACGACTGGGGCGGCTCGAAGCCGCCGTTGGTCGAGGAGGATAAGGAGTTCATGGAGAAGAAGGAGAAGATGCATGAGCTTGAGCAACAACTCAGCAATGCTTCCCAGCAGGTAATTGATAGTACCTAAAAGGAAACTCATCGCTTTTTTTCAGTAGTTTTAATGTTATTTTTAACATCTTTTATGGTTGGTTAGTTAATTGTAATGCCAATTGCGAAATGGTTATTGGTTTGTTTGTGTCATATGCAAAATCTAGAATGGTTATTGGTTTTCTGATGATAGGCTGAATCACTAGTTAAAGCCCAACAAGATATGGGAGAGACATTGGGAGAATTAGGATTGGCATTTATTAAGTTGACGAAATTCGAGAACGAGGAGGCTGTTTGTAACGCCCAAAGAGTCCGTGCTGCAAACACGAAAGGTCTAGCAACTGCTGCTGTTAAAGCGAGCAGATTCTACCGGGAGTTGAATGCTCAGACTGTCAAACACTTGGTAATTGCAAACCTTTGTCATTAGGCAATGCATAAATAGTGCCTTTATGTTGTGCACATTATTGCCGATTCTGTTGAAACTAGTGGGAAGCATTATGATTTTGATGAATGGGATGCTTGAGATTTGTATGTCAAGTTGAATCTCAAACTTGGCAACAGGAGCGGGTTTATGCTTGCATTTTCCCCTTTCCTTTTTCATGATTCTATTATATGTATTGCAGGATACGCTCCATGAATATCTCGGGCTAATGTTAGCCGTCAACAGTGCGTTTTCAGATCGCTCGAGTGCTTTACTGACTGTGCAGACTCTTCTATCTGAACTAGCTTCATTGCAGTCGAGGGCTGAAAAGCTTGAGGTGGCATCATCAAAAATATTTGGTGGTGACAAATCAAGGATTCGCAAACTAGAGGAGTTACAAGAAACCATAAGGGTAACTGAGGATGCTAAAAGTGTTGCAATCAGGGAATATGAACGAATCAAGGTATTGTTTAATTCCTCAACGGTTTTAAATGTAACTGAATTCAGGCTAATGTTTTTATGGTATTTTTGGATGTATCTTATATGGAGGTCCTTAAGTTATGTATTTATGTTCTCCGTATGTGATTTTGTGCTTTTGACGCGTAGGGCATGTTTACCTAACTGTTAAATGAGGATAATTGATTTCCTTTTGAGCATTTACTTATATCTTTGGAAGTGGGGTCGGAAACAGTCCGGTTCCCTTTTCGGTGTTTATCCAACTTAGGAATAGGAATTTATCAATTTAATCACCAAAATGCCCCCTTTTTTTTTGTTACACCAAAATGTCCTTGTGTACATTAAATAATCATTGGCTTGATATGGGTGTATAAGTAAATTCTGCATTTATTCCTATTAACGAGGAAACAATATCAAGGGTGAGTTAGGATTTGAATTCCCGACACCACGTGGATCTTACTAAATTACTAATTCTCATTTGTAAGTAAACATATGAATAGGTGGGAAAAGGAAAACATTCCTCTCTTTTTCTTTCTTGTTCGTGTAGGTAGACATGCCCTTAAATTGACCTTATGACGAATTACTCAAGTTTGCAAAAGGAGGATTATTCTTGGTCAAACTATGGATACAACTGCTTGAGTTAGATATCACAATTCTATCTTCCCTTTTACGGGCAGGCTTCTCCCGTTATTTCCCACTGCTTTGCCTGCTCACTATAAGTTGTCTTTCCTTTGATCCTTCTAGCACTTGCAACTGATTAATTTTTTCCCTGCTTATTGGTTCAGCCACTTTCTTGCCCATGACCTGTCATTTTTTCTTATAGAGTAGGATATATCAAGGGCTCGAATATGATGGCTGAGATTGAGGATTGCATATGGAGTTTTATTTCTCCAGTTGACTCTTATGATACCTGATCGTGAAGTATGAATTTTATATCATTAATTTTGAGTTATTCGTTAGAGTTTAGTGTTTAAACCTGACTCAAGGCGGTTGAATTTTATAAAATGTTGTCCAAGCAGTAACTTGAGAACTTCAAGATAGTTACAGGAAGGGAAGCAATTGGTCTTACGGGGAAGTTGGAGTTAGGACAAGATTATGCAATCTATCATGATTCAATTTGCGTTTGGCTCTTCTTTTCCAAAATGGCCACACAGTAGGAATGGGCTCTTGTTATGTATTTGCCGGAGATAAAGGGATGACTAGGTTACTGTAACTTGGAACCAAAACTTGGTTGAGTGAGTCCCTTTGTTTTCAAAATTGGTCTAGGTAATACTACTTAGACAAGGTGTCAGCTATACCTTGGAGGTAAAATATGCGACCTTGAGCAAGAGGGCACTAGCAATTGATTGGAAATGACCAAGAGGATGCTAGGAATTGGTTGGTATTGACTGCTTAGTGTATAAGTTGGATTTGTATCGATAGTGCTATGTTAATCCCAGCTTTCTATGTCGGGATGATATTCTCAGTTTTCTAGTGAATGAAATTGTTATCTATTGATTGTCTGTGACTGTTATGCTTGTTCATATGGCTGTGTGATAAATGCTCTGAATTGGACTGAAAGATCTGATCTGTACAATTTCTTTTTTCCCGAGTAATATATGAAGAAAAAATTATCACCATGTTTTCTGACCAATCACGATTACCATTTGTTTTTCAACCAATTATAATGTTTCCGTGTGACATGTAGGGTTCCATGTGAAAATGTGTGGTGTATGCATTTGACATTGGAGTGTTTATTGGTTTAGAATAAATAATGGTGTTCGCTTGCTCTATTCGTGATTGTTTCTCGAAACCCATCTTGTCCTAATTGGGGAATATATAACTCGTTCTCATTTTGTTCCCTCATTGCAAGCAGTAGTTAACCTTGTACACCCTCCGTGGCAAAGTCCTGTGACTGGAAAAACAAAGCTGACGTGAAGAATTAGTTGTCTGCATTTTTAGTTACCGTGAACATTAGGATGTCATTTTTCTGGCTATAGTGTTAATCCGTCCTTGCTCATTATCCTGATCTTATATTCATTTTTAAAATCATTGTTGACACAGGAAAATAATAGGAATGAACTTGAAAGATTTGACAGGGAGCGGCATGCTGACTTCTTGAACATGTTGAAAGGGTTTGTCCTTAACCAGGTACTCTACTCTTTTGGTTTTGTTTCTCAGGGTCTCCTCTACGTCTGATATCTTGGCTATCAAGGCTATTTAAAGGGTAATGCATGGGACCTACTATGCTAGGATCTATTCTTTTTAACTACTTGTAGATACTACTGTTTTAACCGTTGGTTATGATTTAAACGGTCTGATCTGTGCTTTAGTGTGCAACACAGACAATTAAAACAACAACACTTGTCGGTAGTTAAAAAGAACATGTTCTACTAGAGAAATACCCCACCATATCTTATTTACTATTTTTCCCCCTTCTCCAAGTAGCTGCTGTCAACTAATATGTTTTCTCAAATAGGCGAGGATTCGTATAGGCAGTATAGACAATCATTGTTTATGTGGCTACGTGTTTACATATTTTGAGTTCGATCTTTGCTCACCTTGTTCACTTTTGCTACTCGGATTTTCATTTAGAACGCAAGTGAAATGGCTGCTAAAATACGTCAAATCTTCACGATTCACAAGTATTCCATTGGAGTGTTTATTCCAAGTCTTTGGTATATATCAATTTTACAGGTGGGATATGCTGAGAAAGTTTCAAACGTATGGTCAAAGGTCGCAGAGGATACAAGTGGATATGTAAAAGAGAGCAGTTGAAACTCAAGGATGTATATTCACTACTTTCTTCTTCTTTCTATTTTCTTTCAGATTTCTATTGATCCTCACCCTGTAAAAATCAAATTACATCCAACCAACAAACAAAAAGGGTGCACTTGGTAGTTCTTTAGGTTTCCCGAGTTGTATCTGTTAGAAAAATTGCGGCACTTGAATTTGATTCTGTAAATTATAATGCTACTTGTTTGACATTTTGAGGTTTTTACATCTTGATTTCCTGACTCTGACTTTGTTAACGAGAGATTGGGATCATGGTAATTTTTAGAAATACCACCTTCAGTTGTTTAATTATTGCTGTCAGTTATATCAGCGCGAAAGGTAGAATTATTCTTTTAGTTCTTTTTTTAAAGAGCTAAATTAAACTTAATGAAAGATGAGCTTTCTTGTAACCATTTAACGAATAGTAAAGTAAATAAATGAGCTCAATACAGTTGATGAATTCTCAATTAATTCAACTCTGTTTGAGTTATTTACTCCAAAGTTCTGATTGACTGCCTTCTTTTCATCCATCGATTCTTTTCCCAAGGATTGGATTTTTATTTACTTGAAGGTTCTGATTAACTGTCCCCTTTTCATCCATACGATTCTTTTACCAAGGATTGGGTTTTTTTTTTTTTTTTTTTTTTCCTATTGAGTAGCTTGATAAAATGCAGCTTAAAAATGGATTCTATTCCCAAGGATTGGATTTTTTTTTTCCCTGTTGAGTAGCTTGTTTGGACATTCCCACTCGGTTGAAGCAAAGACCTAAAGAAGCTAGTTCAAATTCAATCTATCCACAGGGTTGTCGAGGATCACAACAAGTCAATGCCATATGTGCCATCCAAGGATAATTAATAAATTCTTGAAACCGAGTAACAGGGAAAAAAAAATGCAACAATTTTTAGTAAAATAATTGGATATTTACCTTTTATACTATTTTTTTTAGGTTTATTTAAAAATTATACCTTTAATTTTTAATCTCATTAAATATATATTTTTAAATTAGATTTAATACTTAAATTTATATCTTTTTACGATTATAATCTTAAAAATACTTAAAATACCTTTGAATAAAAATGAAAAAAAGGAAAAAAAAAAACTAAAAATCTGAACTTTTGGTTTTGCCCTCAAAATTATGCACAATACCATTGAAATGAGTTTCTTTTGTTTTTTTGTTTTTAGTTTTCATGTTTTGTAATATTGAAAAGTTTTTAGTTTTTTTTTTTAAGGATAATTTTATCATTTTAAAGGTTAAAATTAATTATTAATTGAGATAAAATATAAATTTATATATTAAATTTAATTTAAAAGTATATATTTAACGAGATTAAAAATTAAATGTATCAATTTTAAGTAAACCTAAAACATAGAGAGTATCTATATAATAAGTATCTATATAATAGAAAACGCAATACGCTTTTGGTTGAAACTTTACGGCCCTGTTCATTTCGTCGATTTGAGTTTAGAATTTGAGTTTTGTTACAGTAAAAAGCTCTCAGAAATAGTCACATCTAACTTTTTTACTATAGTAAAAAATTCTCACATAAAATCACATCTCAATTCGAATTATAAACTCAAATCAGCGAAGTGAACGGATTCTACGTTTTGGTAGAAAAGGCTTGATATTTTATTTTATTTTATTTTTTTGGCTCACGCTCTCTCTCTTTCTTTTCAGCTTCTTTTCTTTTGTTTCTCTCCCAATCGCCTTTTCTTCGCTCCTTGATGGCAAATGGCAGATGGCAGATGGCAGATGGCAGAGGTATTGTCCTCTTTGCTTTTAAAGCCCGAGATAAGAATAGATGTTAAACGTTTACGATCGAGCCGCGTGACCTTTTTTTTCCCTTTCTTCTTCCTCTTCGCTCAGCGACGCTACCTTCTTCGCTCCTGCTGACTCTCTTACTCAGTTATTTGTCCTCTTACTCAGTCGTGGAGGCTTTTTCTCTTTCCGGTTTGGATCTCTCACTTCCCTTCCTTCTTTAGCATTTCTGGTCATTTCTTAATGTTTTCGTTTGTTCCCTTATGGTGATATCACTTAGAATCTGAATATCTGATGTTTGTTTGTTGGTTTAGGTTTTAATATGAAAAATGGAGAAGAAAATTAATAGTCGTTTGAGTATTGGTTTTGACAATATTTAGGTTTGGATTCTAGTTTTTTAAAAAAATTAAAAAAAAAGTGGCCGAATTTGATTGTTTTTGTTGGTGGTTATGATAATCTAATAGTTTGGTGGTTCGCATTGTTTTTGTGGTTGCTTTTCTACATGGGTACGTGTTTATCTCTACTTCGTCTTTCATTTTCTACATGGGTACGTGTTTATCTCTACTCTTTTTAAAAAAAAAAAAAAAAAAAAAAAAAAAAAAAGGCTCTGTTGTTATAGTCTTATATGGCTGTAGATTAACTATGCTTTTCCTTCTGTAGTTGGAGCCTATCTGTGGAACCATGTTGTCATTTACAAATAGTTGGAATAAATTTTGTTCTCATTTGATGGGTTTTTTTTACCTGCTGATTTTCTGCCAATGCGCCAGGTATCTGTATTTATTTACAATTTTTTTTTCCTGGTTTATGGCAGATCAGTTCAGTCTTTACCTTTGCAGCTCTAGAAGTTGAGGAGATATCAGGTTCAAAACCAGCTGAAGTGCAAAACTGAGGTAGGTTTTAGCAGCATATGTGACGTTCATCACTAGACATGATTTTTTGTTTATTTTGGCTGTAGAAATTTTAGTTTGATGGAGGTTTTTATTATGATAGAGAAAAAAGAAGTGCAAGAGGAAAAATGAACTATCTTTTCCTTCCCTTTTTTCCTCCTTTTTCCTCCTCTCTTTTTTTCTCTTTAAGTGTACATATGATCTGATATTTGGGACAGAGAAAAAAGAATGTTGTTTAATTTCCTCGTGCATTCTCTCAGAGACCAATTGAAGTTTTCTTCCAACATTTTTTCCCATCTAAAATAGACTTTTATTTGTTTGTTGTTGTTGTTGCCTTTTATTTTTATTTTTTTTAAGTGTTTGTATCTCAGAACAATTTGCATAAAAGGTGTGAACAAATTTGCTTATTTTTTCTTGCTTCCTAATATTCGTATATACAAAATGGATTGATGTAGATGTTCTTTACAATATAAAGTTATTTGCTTGTTATCAATGGACTTATATGGATACTTTCACTATGGATTTTTGAATTCTAAATCTTTTGTGAATTTTTGGAGATCACCTTTGGAGATCGGCGCCCATTTTTTTTTAATTGTGAAGTTTATATGGACAAAGACTGATATGTGTTTGTGGCTTATGGATATGCTTTTGGACCTCCACGGACAATTTACTCTTGTTTCTTTGTGAAGTATGTTGTTCCCTTACTCTCTATTTTTTTTTTTATTTTTTTTAAAGATGTTCTATTTTGACACTTACAACCCAATCTCTTACATATTGCATCTCACCTTTTAATAGATTTGCTTGTTTTTCTGATGTAGATTTCTCTTCTTTCCTTTGTATTTCTCCTATGAGTACTTTAAGCTTGCTTGTCTAATTACTATTGCAAATGTAACTAGCACTATTTTTGTTATTCCAGGAATAAAGAGAGTTTGATGTCTTGTGTTGATACAAATTGTTGACATTAATAAGTGCACTTCCTTCATTGTAAGAATTACGTATAATTTTTTTCCGACACGGAGTCTCACTACGCACGTTGTTTCAACTAGTAAAAATATAATTAGGAACATTATCTTTATCCTGTACCGCTTCCTAATTGTCCTTGTCAAGAGAATTCCTCAAGCAAAAGGGTGATACTCATATCCCTCTCCCTCGTCCCATCACCAACCACCATCCCACATAATTGAAACTAAACTAGTATCTAATCAGTGGTTGGGATTAGTTGGTGGAGGTGAGGGCATTGATGGAATTTTGGAAGGAAGGTTGGGAATTATGACTGTTTAATCAATGGAAATGATGTCTGAATTTTGGACCTCTAGTGAAATACTATTCATGACTCATTCATTTTATCAATTTAAATTTTTAATTTTAATTTTATTATAGTTAAAAACTCATAAAAAAACACATGACTTTTTATTTTTTATTTTTTTTATGCTATGCTGTAATATAAAATCACATAGCAACTCAAATTAAAAACTCAAATTAAAGAATTGATTTTTTTTAGTTAAAAATATCAAGTCAATAATTTGAACCACCAAACCTTAAAAATATTTGTCAAATATTAGATCAAATTAAAGTTGAACATGTTTACCAAAGGGGTAATAGTTTTTGACTTGAGGTTAATTCTGTGGGGAGCTACAGAATTTAAAAGAAAAAAGGTTGCTTATAACGACTGATACGATCCTCTCTTTGTAGTTAAACAAAAAGGAGGATACCAGCCAAACATAAAATAAAGATCAAGAAGAATGATGTAGACCACCAAATATTTATGTTAAGGACAAATTAATAATATAAATAATATATGCCCGTACTATTAGTCCGTTACATGAGGTTTTCATCCCCTTCATTCTCGCACCGAGAAAACGACACAGTGAGAGCTAAACGGCATCAATTATTTATGCTCATGTAGGAAAAGTTGGGGTGCTATTGCATCCATAGTAAAACACGTGCTTTCATTGATCTTAATCCAGACGGTTTGCATCATACTCCTATTCATCTCCCACCAGTGAGTGCAACGAGGACTTCCAAGTGTAGAATTTTTCATATGTTTATGGTAATAAGTTGCTATTGGTCCCGTTCATTTTACCAATTCGAGTTTAGAATTTGAGTTTTGTTATAGTAAAAAACTCTCAGAAATAGTGACATTTAACTTTTTTGCTACAGTAAAAAGTTTTCACATAAAGTCATATATCAACTCGAATTAAATATTTAAATTAACGAACTAAACGGGTTAATGTTTAGTCACAAAATGGTAAATCAATGTTTTAGTATATGGTGTGGTCATTGAGCCAAGCATGTTTTGGGAAATGACCGGTAACTTTTTGAGTAAATTGGCATATGGATTTTATACAAAAAGATTTCCTTATAACTTGCTTCCATGGTTTACCATGGCATATGAAATCAAAGCAGTGGAAAAAGGAACACGGAACTGAGCTACTGAAGCATCCATCAAGGCATGACACTCGCAACATTATTTTTCACCACCATATTACCAAGAAGTTCATCTTAGTCATATTTACTCGGCTTGTTTCCTAGCTTAAACTGGTTTATAGCTAACGTCAAACGCAGCGGTTGTTTGAGCATGTCTAGTTGTCATCTTCCTACAAGTTAGACAAACTTAATAGAGCACAAATACACAAATCGTAATATTTCAAGCAAAAAAAAAAAACACAAATCTTACTAACCTCTAGCCTCAGATCAGCTTCAGGTTTTCTAGTCTATTCTCCTTACAGAGCCTTCTATTAATAGAAAATTTTGGCAAAAACGTATATTTTATACTCATCCGAAAGTCTTTAGACACACACAACAACAACATAACGTGTTTAATTAAAGAATATGAGGGGCATTTCAAAAAAAAAAAAAAAAAGAGAGAGAGAGAAAAGAAAGAGCAGGCTAGGCTGTTACACAGAATGATAAAACGAGATTCTTCATTCTTTTGTGAAATAAATGATTAAGACTCCGTTTATTTTACTAATTTAAGTTGTTAAATGTGTATTCAGTAGGAAGAAAGAAAGGTATAAACATGTAGAGGGTAATCTCTGCGTTGGTTTATGAACATGAACAAATTTGGTGTAATCACAACTTTCTCACTCTTCCAAGTTCCAACCAATGTCCATGCATTACTTGTTACGGATGCCATCTAAATTGGCATCATTTTCAATTCATATATTTATTTTGCATTAATTTTTGTTCGAGTTTAATTAATTTCCTCCCACAATTGTCACAAAATCTACAGACGCGTAAGTTTCTCATTCCACAAGAAGCGACCATCATGCAAAAGTGGTGGTTTTCCATTACATAGAGAGAGTAGACTCGCTCAAGCCCAAAATTCAAGTCTCTTCCTCAACTGTCAGCTGTATGAAGTGCACAGAATTAAAGAGACATTAGTGACTGGTGCTGCATTAATTAATTAATTATCCCAAGAGGACCAATTCCACAAGATATAATCCGAGTCCAAAACCATTTGAGACGTTCTTTTTCTCATTTTTTGTCTCCTTCCAATTCCACCCTTATCCTTTCCCACCAAAATCAAACCACAAAATTGAAAACAAATAAATAAATAAAAAAAAGCTGAGAGAAACAAAAGAAAAAGAAGGATTCAAAGTCAAAAAGAAAGCTCAGTTTTATTTGTTTCTTTAATTTTCTTTTCTTCTCCTCTACTGTTCTGTCCCTCTCACCAGTCTCCATCAACTCTTGTCCGTATAGCCTCCGTCTTTATTTGGTCTAATTTTGCATCAATATTTTTTTTTCCTTTTTTTTTTTTAATTTTCTCTCAAACATTATTACCTACTTGCTTTACTTTTCCACATCCCCACAAACCGCGTTTTCCAAGGTCTTTCCTTTCTTGCTCTTTAAAATTTTCCTCAAACATATGCCCAAACTAAACCATGTCTGAATTTCATATTTTCTTCTCTCAATCGTAGGAGAAGTTGAGCTTGATTCTTAAATCCTAAGGAGAGGAAAAAAAAAAGGACAACAAAAGACAAAAACAATGGCTGAGAACGGCGAAGAGAAATGGTTAGCCGTTGCGCGCCACATAGCCAAAACCCTGGGAAGCAACGATACTATGGCGGACGATATTTTGCAGATATTCTCCAACTTCGACGGGAGATTTTCTCGCGAGAAATTGTCCGAGAAGGTTGTCGGAGAAGACGATCCCAGGGCCTGCGCCGTATTGGATCACGCCCTCAAGTCCCTCGACCGTCAGATCTCCCAGTACGTGGCGGCGGACCAGCCAATCTGGCTCGACCCCGCCGACTCCTCCGCCTTCCTCGACGCCATCGACGAGCTCATCGCCACCGTCAGGGAGTGGAGCCACTTGGCAGAGGAGAAGAACGTCAGCGCGTGTCTCGCACGGGCCGACGACTTGATGCAGCAGGCCATGTTCCGAGTCGAGGACGAGTTTAGGTCGTTGATGGAGCGCGGCGGCGAGTCGATCGAGCTGAGCCGCTCTTACGGGAACGGCGAGACGGCCGGGAACTTGTCCTGCGAGTCGGAGGACGAGGAGGAGGAAGGAGAAGCGGAGGGAGGTGAGGAGAGCCAGATTCCGACGGCTAGGCCGATCGGCGACTACGACATCGTGATCGACGCGCTTCCGTCGGGGACGATCAACGACCTCCACGAAATGGCGAAGCGGATGGTGGCCGCCGGGTTCGGGAAGGAGTGCTCGCACGTGTACAGCAGCTGCCGGAGGGAGTTCCTGGAGGAGAGCCTCTCGAGGTTAGGGTTGAAGAAGCTGAGCATCGAGGACGTCCACAAGATGGCGTGGCAGGACCTCGAGGACGAAATCGAGCGGTGGATCAAGGCCGCCAACGTCACGCTTCGGATCCTCTTCCCGAGCGAGCGGCGCCTCGTCGATCGCGTCTTCTTCGGCTTCTCGTCGGCGGCCGACCTCTCGTTTATGGAGGTCTGTCGCGGATCCACGATTCAGCTGCTGAACTTCGCCGACGCCTTAGCGATAGGATCGCGGTCGCCGGAGCGCCTCTTCAAGATTCTAGACGTGTTCGATACGCTGAGGGATTTGCTCCCCGAGTTCGAGTCCGTCTTCTCTGATCAGTACTGTATGTTGCTCAGGAACGAAGCGATCACCATCTGGAAACGGTTAGGTGAAGCAATTAGAGGAATTTTCATGGAATTGGAGAATTTGATCAGTCGCGACCCGGCCAAAGTTCCTGTTCCTGGCGGCGGGCTTCATCCGATTACTCGCTACGTGATGAATTACCTCCGAGCGGCGTGCCGGTCCCGGCAAACTCTTGAGCAAGTGTTCGAGGAGAACGCTTCGGCGATGCCTCCCATGGCGAAGCTCGAGGACCGAGCCTCGTCGTCGTCAATGTCGGTTCAGATATCTTGGATAATGGAGCTTCTGGAGAGCAATCTAGAGGCCAAGTCCAAGATATACAAGGACCCTGCTTTATGCTACGTGTTCATGATGAACAACGGAAGATACATTGTTCAGAAGGTGAAAGACAACGAATTGGGATTGCTTTTGGGCGACGATTGGATCCGAAAACACACGGCCAAAGTCCGGCAATTCCACGTGAATTACCAGCGGAGCTCATGGAATAAGGTCTTGGGACTGCTGAAGCTGGACAGCTCCGTGGCGCCTAATGTCGCCGCGAGGTCCATGAAAGAAAAGCTCAAGTCTTTCAACCAGAGCTTTGAGGAGATTTGCAAAAACCAATCTACATGGGTCATTTTCGACGAGCAGCTGAGGGAGGAATTGAAGATTTCGGTGGCCAAACTTGTGTCACCCGCGTATCAAAGCTTTATTGGAAGGTTCCAGAACGTTCCTGAGCTGGGGAGGAATGCTGAGAGGCACATCAAGTATGGCGCGGAAGATATAGAAGCTCGGATTAATGACTTGTTTCAGAGAAGTGGAGGATCAACCGGTGGCCGGAGGTAGAGGTAAATCCACTGACGATAGTTTGTATCTAGGAGTCTATGCTTAAAACTGTACTTTTTCTCTCTTTTTTCTTGTATGAATGGTCTAAAATTTATTTGTGGCCTTCGGTTAGATGTTTACTTGTGATAAAAGTAGCGCTTTCTTTTTTCTACTCCCACGTTCAATAGTGGAACTCATAGACGGATAATAGTTTATATTTACTTTTGTAAATTATATAGAAGTTTTGTTGCATTCAAAAAACTGGGTTCTGGAACTCTAGTTAGCATTATTGGAATTTGTTTTCGGGATGGGAAATTACTCAAGTAGTCAAGTTTAGAGGTTGTGCTTTTATATTTAAGATTAACACATTGGAAAATAAAGGGAGGCAATGTTTTTAAATTTGATTTTACGATGAAGTACAATTCTATAGGTAGAGATGATTTAGGAGGCAGCTTCTTTGGCAAAGTTCGGTCATGAAGCACAATTCTAAACCCAGGGGATGTTTCAATATGATTTAAGCACAGTTCGAGTAATGTATTACTAACTCAGAACAATCTCAATGATCTTCCATAAATCAATATTCTTCATTATGGGAAAATGGAAATGATTTGAAGAGTAACATCCGAAAAAAAAAAAAAAGAAATCTTTGGACTGTGCCACTTCCAGAAGACAAAACATAGCATTGGATCCTCGTTCGTTCCTGTTTTATTGAGCAAAATAGAGACAGCTACTAAGATACTGTTGTTAGTTGTTTCTATATAGTTTTTTTAACCTCTTCGATTGACTTTTTAATCTTCTTTTTGATTTTTCATGAGATTCCAGTTTCTGAAAATATTCAAATTTTACCTCTATTCTCAGTTATCTATCTCCCGAACATTCTTGGCCAGCAACGAGCATATTACGAAACCTCGGCAACATGTAGAGAGAATTCGATAAAATAAGCATTCATTGGATTTTATATGTTATTTTATTGGCGTATGAATCTCTGTTGGAGATTATAGACGTCTTAATTTTCATATTTAACGCTGATTAAATTGAAATCAATGACTGTTATCTCGAAAATAGTTTTTTCTTGAGGTTTACAGTGAGATACTGATATTATGCTGCATCAGTGGGATAAATGCTATTCCCCCTTTGCTTGCATGATGCTGCTGCTTCAATATGCCCTGTTCCCCAGCATCCTCTGCTGGCCTTACCAAAACTGGTTGCATCAAAATAATCGTATCCCAATCCTTTTTTTTTTTTTTTTTTTTTTTTTTCTTCTGTATGCTTAAATTTGGTAGTAATTTGAATAGTTAGACATCCTATTGGAGGTAGCCCAGCAACAGCCACTTTGCGATTGTTCCTGAAAATATACACATATATATAAATATATTTATATAAACGTGTAGAAATGTTATACTGAATCGCATCAGAAGGATACATAGCACCAGAAAATTCATTCTACCTTTAACAGTTTAACCCATCACGGTGAATAGGGGTACTCCAAACATCATAATAAAGGGGGCTTCTACGATAGAGATCGTACTTTAACTATTAATAAGAAACTATTGTAGAGATCGTACTTTAACTATTAATAAGAAACTATTGTCTTAATCATTAGATTAAGATTCTAACGCATAAGATACAAAGCTGCTACAATCATCAATAATGTCATAAAAACTTTATTCAACGATTAAAAATGCAATACAAGTTAGTTAAAATTACAACTCCTGCAGTAGAAATTTTTCGTAATAAAATATAAAAGTTTTTAATAAACTTATGCTTACCATATTTCTCAGGATGATTGATCATATCGATCAAGGGTGTTTATATATCTGTATAGACAATTTTGCTCCCTGTAAGCTGTGCCTGTATTCTGGGTAAAAGACTTGCAAGCTTGCGATTGTAAACTTTTGCGTCTGAATTCTACTCCTCTATACAGCTCCGATCCTCCACACTCACTCGCTTTGCACTTATTTGAATGGGCAAACAACCGATTGGAGGAAGCCCTGATATGGCTATTTTTTGGCATCCAAGATCATACAAATCCAATGCATGAAATTTTGGATACCAACATTTGATATTTAAACAGTAATATACTTGATATGTACTTCTTTTCTGTGATTCAGTTATGGCTTTTTTGCTTCTTTAGGCCTGGATCTTTACATGTGCCTTGGAAGTTGCAGAATTCATGAGATCATGCTGTTTTGCTGTCTAAAAGGACGGATTTTAGGTTTTTTCGTGTGTGTAGATAGACTAATTGCTATGCCAACGAGTTACCTAATCTTGGTGTGATAAATAGGAATAAAAATTGGTGGTATTCTGATTCTTTTGATTTTTTAGTATATAGAGATGTTATAGTTTGCCTTTTTACAGATTCTTTTGATTGAATTTTTAATTTGTATTCTTTTCCTTTCTTTAATAATATTCTCTTCTATTTGAGGAAGTTTTATTCAAAAAAAAAAAAAAAAAACTTTTTGTGAATTGTTTTCATATCGATTAGTATACAATATTTAGAAGAAAAAGAAAAGAAAGTGTTGTTTAGTATATATACCAGTTTAAGGTGCAAAAGAGTTACATTTTTAACTGAATAGAGGCGTTATAGAGCATTTCTATTTTCTGGCGTCCCTAATCATATGACTAATTGGTATACAACGCTGGTGGTGCCTTTTTAGGTTGTTGCAAGATCCACCAATATTAACAAATTTGTTTTTTGTTTTTTTTGTTTTTTTTTAAGTGCTGAATCATGTAGCGAAGGATAACACTGGTGTCCTATAGCTTTATTATTTCCAACCCCATCAGATTTATATCAAATCTAAATCAATTTAGATGTAATATCAATATAGTTCTAATATATATGACGACATATTAAACAAATGTAATATAGCAAATATTAGATAAAAAAATTATAAGCTCCTAATTAGATAAAACCTCCGGAAATATTAGATGTATGATCATGAAAAATGGAAAAAGATGAGGGGGGAAAAAGGTCACCTTGATAAAAGTTTTGTTAGACCTCCAAGCCTCAGGTTTGTGTATGCCAGAAGAAGGAATAGGAATATGCAGGGGCAGAAGGGGGATTTAAGTAACATGGAGCCAAGGCAAGGGTAAGGGGCGAGTTGTTAGGATACGGTTATGGTTATGGGGCTGTGTGCCAGGGTAGGATTGGGAAGGAAGTTAGTTAGAGGGTGGAAATAAGTAGTCCTAGCGGGGGCTACGGAGAGGGCGTCGAGAATTAAGTGAGAGTGAGTCTGTGGAGGTTTGGAGGGGTCCTCGAATTCCCTTCTATCTTTTATTTCCGGCATTGTAATTGTTTTCCCTGTTTTCATTTTCATCGTGATTCAATAAAAGGATCCAGGCCAATCTCCTGGTTAATTTCCAGATTCCTGTTATATTTCTTAGTATAATTGCTCTAAGGTGATAGTTCGACGGGAGTCCTAACAAGTTTCGAGTCTCTTCTGCAGAAAATCTTGGTAGCCACTAATGTTGAATTCTATCTTCCTTGTGGGTACGTCATAGTAATTAAAACCAAAGTCATTAGTGCCTGCACTTACTATAACCAAAGCCCCATTAACCATCTTTTTGGCCTGCTTTTCCCCTACAATCCTCTGAAGTCTCACCAAGTGTTCCTTGAAGTAGTGTGCTTGCTTCAAAACTGGTATGACCCCAGATGCTACTGTAGTTAACTCATCATACCCCGATCCGGCAGATGCGAAGCTGACACCGGTGGGGAGGTCCTCATCTGATAGTTTTGGATGAAGAAAAGGAGGAACAATGTCGTTTTTTATCCTTAGCATTGAGGCAATAAAATCAGGAACTAGCTTTCCGTTAGAAAACCTGCCTGTAGGGACATGACCAGGGAAATCCTTGCCATAAGGGTAATGGTTACCTTTAAACAGTGTGTTAATGTAGTTGTTGTTGCCTGTATCGACCGTCTAATCGCCGAAGATTAGAATGGCGGGGAGGTTTGGGGGAGCTAGTTTTGCCCTAGAGGCACTACTGCACGTGCATGAAATTATGAGCAAGATGGTGGTAGTTGGCGCCATTGTTATTTACTTTTAATTCATGTGTATCGTATATATTGATTTATTTAGTGTTTTAGGCTCTAAAACTGTTTCTAGTGAATCTCTACATAGATATGATTTGTAAAAGAACTTTAAAAAGATAAAAAAAAAAAAAAAGGAAACGTGACATGGATGCCAAGTTCCTGTTCTTACTTAATACATGAGAAAGGACAGATATATTGCTTTGCCGATGGAATTGGAGCAGATATTGATCGATCGGTTTCTTATAACTAATGTGCTTTTTTTTTTTTTGGTTGGAAGCTATAAATCTATGCTTTATGAGTTTTAGCAAGAAATGAGTCTGGACTGAAATATATACGCTAAATGATTAATGTTGGTATGTGTTATTTTCGTGCTTTCTTTGTGATATTCTCCTGTACTGCTTCCATATAAAGTTTACCGTGTAATTCAGGCGTTGCCTTAGTTGTAAAGAGAAAAAGAGGTAGAAGTTAATTAATTCTCCAAACAATCCACAAAAGAAGGAATATATTCAAACAAAAAGCACATTTGTGATTTTGTCAATGAAGAAATGAAAAAAAGAAATTATCATAAAGATCAGCGCCAAATTATGTTTTTATTTTTTACTTTAAACAAGTATTTTTTAATAACAAATAAATTTTTATGTGTTTCCTTTCTTATTTAAACATGTTTTTTTAAGTTAAACATGTATTTCTTAATAACAAATAAAATTATACATATTTAAAATCATGTCATGTTTATTTTGGTTATCTTAACTATTTACAGTAATTTCACTTTACAATTTAGCAAACGTTATTACAATGTTTTTCGAACCAGCAACACTTGAATGATTACATTTTACTAAACACTCAGTTATTTTTTATAACAGCTAATTCTTTCTTCAGCACAGTTAAAAATAATTTTTCTAAGATTTACAAAACTACCAAACTAAGCCATAATCATACTCTAATTAGCTCATGGCGGGTCAAAAGAAATTTCTCTTAATGCGGTATATATGTTACCGGTGCTGATATTAAATATTATTCACCTTTTAGTCAAGACTCAATAAACAAAATGGCTAGCAAAACCAAAATATTCAGAAAGGAATACTACAAAATGCCTCAAGTGAAATTGGATATTTGCGATTGCACTATGAAGAATTAAAAAAAGCATCCCTTTCAATGAGTCTTGGAAGAGGCAAACAATATTTAAGCATTATCTCATTATAAATTCTCTTTTTGGCATAAATTTCCGAAT